TTTTTTTTTTTTTTTTTTTTAATGAGAGAAAAGTGGGATAGTTAAGAAAAATATTTTTATTACAAGTCACTTTAAAAAATCTGTTATATATTGTTGAATAGTTGAAACTGAACACCAGCAATAAAAAAAATATACTGCAAAGTTTTGAGATGATATTATCATCATCATCATCGTCATCATCATCGTCATCATCATCATCATCATCGACCAAATCTTTCTCACTGAACTGTGCTTGTCAATGCTAATAAACATCAATTGAACGGATGAACAGAAGAGAGCTAACGTTCATTCTTCTCATCACTTCAACAATTCTTTTCATTTTTAGTTTTAAACGATAGCAAAGAAAAGAAAAAGTGATAGATAAATAAAATTTATGAATTTTTTTTTTCTATTTTAATTGAGCTTTTTTTGTTTTTTTTTTTTGTTTCTGTAGATCAGTTTTACTGTTATCTGAGAAGAAACAACGAAAAAAAAGAATCAAATAAAATCAAAATAAACTTATGTGTGATCCGATAATTTTAAGAAACCATCTGCATCTTAAATTTTTCACATATTTCGTTTGTTTTTGTTTTTTTTCTACCTATTTTCTTCTTTATATCAGAGTAAAAAGTATTGGCATTGTTGAAGAAAATAAACATCAAAAAAAAAAACCCCCTGAAATCTACGTGACAGGCATAAAATTCTTCTTCGTGGATTGAATTGTACATAGAGTTTCTAAAAGTTGCCAAATTATTTTGGTATTGTTTAGCAGCAGCAGTTGTTGTTTTACAGAAAAATTTTAAACCTTTTATATTATGCCAATTTATACAGAAAGCTGTTTAGTTGTTGTTTGTTCAATGTTAACATCGTTGAAAATTATTGTATAATTTGCAGTCCGCGACTGTCACCATATATGTATCAAGAACATCCATATGTTCGAATGCAGGATTCCAGGATTGTTGGTTCAAATTTTGTACAAATAACATCAAGGCCAAAGGATAATTTTTTGGAGAAAATAGATCGAACATTAGCTGAGGTAAGAGCGATGCCCAGATTTTGATAGCAGAGATTCTAGATGTTTCAATTCAAGAACCTTCTTCTGGTTTGTTCATCGATCACTGACGACGATAGTGACTGTCGTTGAAAAAAAAATTTTATCTGTTTGCAGAAATTTTATCTGTTTTTTCTCTTTTTTTTTCCTCTTTTTCTTTTTTTTTGTTGTTGTTTATGTATGTGAAGAATTTTTTGTTTTTTCGTGCAAAATTTTTCGGTGATTATATTATCTTTTTTTTTTGTAAGATATATGTAAATTTTTGTATTTTCTTCAAATCAAAAAACTGTCTGTAGTTTGGTTATAGGAGATGTAACAAAAAAATGTTGTATAATTGACAAATATACTCAGTAAAATTGATGCTAAAAAAAAGTAGGCTAAAAAATTTAGTTTGGAAGATAAATATATTATATAAGTAATTTGTTTTAGCACTTTTATTCTTCTTCTGTTGTTCTTTTCTTGCTCAAATTTTTTTGAAATCCGATAAAATATTTGGTAGATTTTTTAAGTTTATTGTGGTATTCTTACTGAGCTTTTTATGTTTTATATATATATTTTTTTATTGTCATTATTGAAAAAAAAAAACTTTTTTTTTCTGTTGGTTTGTTCGATCGTTTTTTTTTGTGTTTTGTTTTTAGGATATGATAAAATATATATATAGTTTTGTGAAGAACAAAATTTTATATTCAATTAATGTTTGGTGGTGTAATATGTTAGCAAATAAAAAATTTTGTTTTGCCCTGATAATATTCTAACTGTTTTTTATAGTTTGCAGAATTGAAAACAGGAAAAAAAAAAAAGAAGATGAAGAAAGTTCTTATGAATTTATAGATTCTTTTTTTTTGTCATCCAAATATCATCATCATCATCATTGATCTGTTCAATTGAATTCCCCGTCAACAACAACCAAACAACAATATTTTGCTCTCAATTACTGTTGTCAATTTATTCTCAATTTTGCTTAGAAAAAATTTTATGATTGCTAAAAAAAAAATGTCATCCAAAAAAAAAGAATTATCCACATGCACTGATTATTTTGTAGCTTATTATTATAGTTGATTAGAATCGTTTTGTTCAGATATAAAAAAAAAAAAACTGTTAACGGCAGCACTGACAATGGCGATGATCAGTGGTGATGATCAACAAAACTGATGATAACTTTATGAATGTTATACATAAGTTATTTGGCTGAAACAACAAAAAAAAAAAAGAGTACCACAGCAAAACCACACAGATTTAAGCGCATATATCGGTTTTATTAGCAAATTTTTAGGTTAGCATTTCTATTTTTTTTGATACATTTGTCGTGCATTAAGTCCTGGGCATAACAGCAGATCACCTTGAATACGTCGACATAACGTATATTCACCATTTGTTGGTGGATCAACTGAAAATACCTATTATAGGTTTCTTGTTTGATAATAAATTTGTGAAGGGAAAGGAAAAAAAAAAACTGGCATCAAAATTTGTCAACAGTTGAAATTATTTTACAAAATTTTTTTAAATCAAAACTGAAGAAAAAAAAAAAGAAGAAAACCGACAATACCATTTTCACTGTCGAACAGATTTGCTTCTGGATAACTACGTTTACCATATCGTGACAGTACCGCTCGATTAAAACGTGTCAACTTTGGAATCTGAACATCTGGATAGGATGATGATGCTGCTGATACCATTGTTGATGATATTATGCAAATACATATGCACAAAGCAATGTTCAAATGCATTTTTTTGCTCCCTTTTTTTTTTTTTCGCTTTTGGATTTTTGTTGT